CTCATGACAAATTTGGACTTATTTCGTCCTTCGTTCGCATTAAGCGTCATGGCTTAGCGTTCCTTGGCATAGTTGCAAGTGTGACTTGTAGTGTCTGAGTATACGCCGCCTGGAGATGTAATTATTTGATTTTTACATTGTGAAATAATTTTGATTGCAGATCCATGTCGGAGGATTTCGTTCATTTGACGGGGGATGTTTATTAATCAACTTATTTTCCGCAGTAGGATTACTGCTTCATTACTAAGGCACAAACCATGAATCAATTTTCATCCTTTGTGTCTTGGAACTGTGGTTTTGTTTGCATTTATCTGTAATTTGAGTGGTTCAACTGTTTTACCTTATTTTTTCGAATGATTGGATGACGGGCTTCAAAACAATATTCCCACCAGTGATTCAGGTCGATTAGTCTGTTCATAATTTATTTGATACCAGTACCTTACGAGTACAGTTTGGAGCAGAACAAAATAACTCGCTATATCCTGTGCTCTGTTAGGTTTTGCAGTGATTGCTTGGAACACCGAGGAAGTTATAAATAAGACAATGTCCTGTGATTGATCAGTCTTTGATTTCGCGTGTTTTAGAAGACGTCATTTGTTTCCAAAATACGTTACTCTTGGTCCAAAAATTTTGTAGCATCACATCACCTCTCATATCTCAGGAGGCGTACATGTTCTATAAGTAAAAATAAATATTCTAAACTAAATGAACTTTCCCTTCTTAGTCCGATGGTAACTGTAGTAACTTTGAATTTTGTATTTCTCGATTTTATGTGATTCTTATTGTAAACAGATGTTATTTACTTAAACGGCGTTAACAAGTTGATCTTGGAATGGAGAAGAGTTGTGTTTTCTTTGCGGTACGGAGAGAATTCTTAAATGTTATGCTGCTGATCCTCGACTTCAGATGGTCAATGAATTGGAAGGTGTGTATATTCTCTGTGCGTGTGTCGTTATATTCACTGACATCGTTTGCTTTGTTTTATTTAATAAAACACGAAAGATAAACTTGTTTCAAGTTTATAGCTTATGTCGAACGAGTAATGAAAATTAACATCTCTGCCGTTTAAATATTCGTATCTGTACCAACTGTGAAAAGCAATATAAATTATCGTCGGAGGAAGAAAGCGACTGTTTATTATTACATCAAGGTTATAAGGTGTTAATAGTTTCGACACCGAAAGTAGGCTTTGATCCTTGTGTGATTTCTCATTGACTGTGTTTCAGACCGTCCAGATCCGGCCAAAGGTGCTGTATAAACGCGTATAATCGAGCCAGCATCAGGCGTACCACCATCATTCTTTTGCTGAAATTAACTTTTTAAAGCCTAGTGGTAACGATATGTATCAGATAAACAGTAAATAACCCCAAATTTTGTATTTATGTTTTCCACATGATTCTCAATATAAACATCGATTATATCTTTAAGAATAAGTAATCATTTTATCTTTGTAATGGTGAAGTTTTATTTATTTTTGTGGTACGGGCTGAATTATTAATATTATTTACACCTGCTTTGGCTTTAGAGTTGATGACTGTGTGATGATTAATTTCTTCAGAGCAACTGGGCGGAAAATCTAACGGTATACGGGATGTACGAAATATAATACATATTTTTGGGACAGCCTGTATTCGTCTTTCCACTTTACAATGTGGATAGATGATTATGGGATATGAGCTATATATAACGTGTGTAGTTAACTCGTAGGCTACATACCGGCACACGAAAGAATGAATTTCGTTATTGACGGTTCGAATTTTTTTTTTAAAAAAATATAAGCAGTTGACATTTTGCAGATTCAATTTTATAAACACCCCGTAAAAACTAAAAAAAAGGAGAAGTTTTTGGACAAGAATTTTGTGTTTAAGAGCGTTATCCTGTAGGTAAACAGTGCTTCAGCACATGAAGATAATTTCTATAATATTAAAATCCTAGGATTAGTATTCGTTGTATGAACTAAGCTTTTAATGTTGATAATCTTCTTTAAAGAACGTTATTAAAAATAAATTCTTTCGTAATTTAAAGCTTAGTGACGCATTATTCATGAGTTAACTGGCACAGTGCTCGCTTCTTCTGCGTGCTTAATACGGTTGAGAAGAACTTATCTTTGAACCCTTAGGTGATTTAAGGTTTTCACGGTCGTGAAGATACCGGTTATGGCCTGTGGGTTGCGACGTTTCGGAGAAATGTTTAGGGCGTCATAACAAAACGCACCACAGTCGTTGCCATTTGCTTCTTAAAAGTCGTCGTGCCTTCCGATATGACGTCGAAGTTTCTTAGATCTGAGGTTTGATTTCGGTGTCCTGGTTGTGGGTTGGTTTTGTGAGCGTCTCTGTCTCTAAACGCTGTGCCAACAACACAAAAAAGGAACTCCCGTTCCACCGTTTCAAAACGTGTCACCAGGTTAAATGATCATCTGTAAGCCACAACAGTTTCAGTTAGACGTTCACTTTTACCCAATAAATACAAGGCAAGGCAGGTCTCAGACATTATGGACGTGCCCGTGTGTTTGAGAGATGAGGCACGTAATAATGTTGATAATCTTCTGTGACTTTGGAACCCTCAGACTCGTTGGTTGATGCCCAACGTTTCGGAGAAATTTAGTGTCTCCATCTTCAGTCTCCGGGACTATTTAGTAGCCACGGAACGTCACGCCGTAGTTAATATCATTGCGCTGATGCACTATGAATTTTTGTACGAGCGTGTATGGATTGCACAGAAAGAGTCTCTTCACCACGAAATGTTTATCAATTCTGTTTACAACGTATTCCGAAACATTTTTCGCCATATAAATAGCCTATGTAAAATGTTGGTCACTGTTGTCCGATTTGAACCAAAATTGGGATTTGTTGACGAATTTTAGCAGGATTCCGAAGTAAGCACATTCATGGAGTGGATAGGCAGACATGGCCAAGTTGATAGCAGAATTTTTGCAATTTCGATTCGAACGCGACGTGATTAAAAAACTCAGTGACCACCAGCAGTTTGTCACATTACACCGGATATTAATGTGACTAAGCCCTGTTTTGATGAAAAGGCTTGCATTGAGACACTGAAATAAACAACAACAAAAAACTTCTGTTCCTACTTTCAGGTGGTTGGTTATTATACTGATCATTCTGGTCCAACAACGTGGCCTGGTGGTTAGCGTACTAGTCTAGGAGGTCCCAGTTCGATCACAACCGTTGCTAGAAGTGTTAAAACATAAATAAGGCTCTTAGTATAATGCCATCCGCCCATGTGAACACTGAAATATAGACCAAAGTCTCGAATTGTAGTACATATCCCAACCTAATATGTTGGTATAATGAATCAGACATTGTCACAAACCTTTAGAGAACATGAAATTTGGTACCGTGATTGGGCTCGCCAGTAAATCGAATCGGCTTCACGTTAGCCTGTGGCCAGAGTTGTTTTGATATCGTAGTCTGTAAGAGGATTTCATAAAATAAATCCTACCAATATATGGAATAATGGTTCGTGTTTCGTAATGATATTTTGTTAATTATTTTCATGCAATGTTTACGGGTTTCTATTTGTATGCGATAACGCGAAACTGCATCGCATTAACAGTTATTAATTTCGCTTAGTCAAAACATCAGGCATTGAATCTACCGATTTCATAATACATTTTAGTGAATAACTTGCATATAAGTTTTTCGTTTTGTTTCTGAGCGATTTATTTTGAATAGCGGTGATGCAGCTTAGATACACAAAGACGGATGCTGTAAAGTGTTAAATACAGGAATTAAATTGATTCCTCGTTCCACTCGCTTCAATAAGAGATGCTAAAATGTCTCGTGCCTCTCCAGAAATTGGTGGCAAACTGTAACAATATATTAGAATTTCCCCATAGCTGCAGTCTGGAAAACTGCTTATTTTCCACTGTTTTGCTTCGTTAACGTTCGCTTCTGGGTCGAGAGTGGACGGCCCTGTTAATTACTTTAGAAGTTTAGAGCTGTACTAAACATTTACGACACGTTGTAGTATGGAAGGATGCCATTGTGTTTAATAGTCCAATAAGCATGTCTTGGAGTGTTGCCTGCGGACAGACATGTAGCAAGTGGCGTTTTGATACAGAAATAATAGCAACACTTTGCAGAGGACAGTAACTGCCCGGTTGTGTTAGGTTTTGCGTTTTTTTTTTTGAAAAGGTGGAACACCTCGCCTGAATTAGTGGCTTGTGGTCCGTGAGGAAAAAGCACACAGAGCCCTAAACCTTATACACTAATCTGTTTTTTAGTGTTGCGGTGAAGCGGTTCTGTCCGTGTGCAACGCCATCTGCGAATGGGGCCCAGTATTCATCCCGCAGACGAAACATGAATGAACGTTGAGTTCGTCGTCGAAATTGCTCTGACAGCGGAAAATCGAAGGACTCGTTGGAGAAACTGTATTAATGCCACTTTGTCCCCGTGTCTGATCTGGACGCGATTCCGGACCTTCGCGGTAAGAAGCCGGCGGCTAACCCTCCTGAGCTGTCATGTCCTCGTGCCAATCTGCTTCAAACGTTCATGTACTTGCACACGAGATCGTCCCGTTCGTATTCGATACGTCCCGGGTTTAAATCTCGGTATTTTGATGTTATCGTGATGAGCATTAATACGTGTAAGTAAGTCTGATTGTCGCCAGCTATTTAACGATGAGGTAAAAGGTAAGCACCACAGCATGCAGACATGGATGAATGGAGGTGTAGCTCTACGCATTCTTAGTCTCGGTATTAGACGAGGGCGGGTGGATAGCTTTACGCCAAACACGCGTGTTGGTGAATAGAGGCCAACGTCGTGGAGAAGAGAGAAGTCCTCTGCTGGGAATCAAACCCCGCTCGTCGAATAAACAGCCTTAGTTACTATAAAGAGGTGTTTCGGATAACAGCTGCAGGATGAAGAATACTGAAATCCAGGAAATGTAGCTGTAATTCCGATGGACAGTTTTTGTTTCTGGTTCGAAGGGCGCTGTGAAAAAGTTGCACGTCTCTTAATGTTTGTTTTCTTGTGTTCCAGCTGAAGGCGCGATCCGTGACTGCTTGGAGGCACGGAGGCGACCACGGAGGAGAATTGTCTGTGTACTGCTGGTGAACTACCCATCCCTCTTCACGTCTTTTCTTCTGTGTTGCTTTTGGATTCGGAAGACGTTGGCGACTGGAAAGGTCATTTTTACGTAATGTGTGGAAGCCGGAATGTGTGCAATTTCCGATGTTCTTGTGTGTATGGAACAAGACTGACTGAATATATTCTAGATATGAAGGTGAAAGTTGAAATATTTGCCCATAATTCATATATGAAAATGAAAAAAATAATGTTACCTCCTTCTAACGACCCGAAAGAACAGACAGTATATATTATATAATGAAATGAATGGAGGATAACTTGATAAATATTTTAAAACTAGAATTTAATTAACACGAAGGGGAAATATATATATACATACTATAATACTTCTCTAACGCTCTCCATAGGCGAACCACACGAACAGTTTTTTTAATTGGCATGATAAATAGTACGGAGTATAAAATGCAGGGAAAGTTTGGAATTAGTAATAAATGTGTGGGTTTAAGCCCGGTCTGTCATTCTCGGAAACATTGTAATTATTTTTTAATTTAATGGAGATATTTTTGTAAGAAGTATTGCTGAAGTTCCATATGTTTCTACGTTTCCAATATAATTAGAAAGCATTTGCCTTTCACTCTTAGCGCTTTCCAATTGCTTACATCTGAGCGTCAGTACTGCCTTCTGATATTCCCTTGGAATTCGAGGAAGCATTTTCATATAACGAGAAAGTCTACATGAATTTGAACAATCGCTGCTGCTGGACAGAGCTGGCCCAAACGTTGTCCAGAATCTGACCTGTAAGATGATATTATTTAAATTTTTATCTAATTTTAACGATGTACTGATAAGATTGTGTCTAGTGCCAGGGACCTCCCTGTTACGGGTATTTGCCGAATTCAGGTTGGAAAGCGTTAGACAGTGTGTGCAGATGTCTTATCAGAATCGTCTTTTTCTTTATGGTAGTGTTATTTTTGTTGTTAGGCTAAAGACAATATTACTACCATGTATAGGCCATAATTCAAATTTTCACTTGCGTGTTTCCGAACACTCGATGCTTTTTATATCGATAACTTTGCTAACCTAACCTAACTTCAACTTGTGTAAGAATTTATGCCGTTTGAAGAGAACGGAAGCATTTGACATTGTCTAGGTCCAAAACAACTTTTAGAAATAAAACAAATTTTGTTATGTAAAATGATGCATTTATTTATATTTATTTCTTTTCTTCGATTGTCCTGCTTTGTTTATTTTTTTATTAACGGTATCTGAATTGGGTGGGAGGGGTTGCAATTAGTTTATTACTTGAAATCCTATAAATTAAAATACAAGTAAGAATATTTGAGTTTTTCACGGCTGTGATGCAGATGTTTCTGTTGATTTAGTCATCGTGTAGACTCCTCTGTAGATGAATACGTTTTGGAGGAATATACTCTCTTCTTCTTAAGGGCTGAAGATGGAGACAGTATGTTCCGAAACGTTGGTATCTACCAACGAGTCTACACGGTGGCAAAATCTAGAAGAAAATCATCAAGATTACGATTTCTTAATTAATTAATATCTTGTTTAATTGATAACGTCGGTTTACAGCTGGAGTCAAATAGGACAAATCCACTGTTTAGGAAAAATGGAGAATCGTGGGTGAAGAGGATATTATTATCAACACAAACATGACGCATTTAAACCTTAGACATTCTTTAAACCTCAGAGACTGCGCAGTATTGTAACATCGTTGTAACGATGAATAGCGCAAATTTTAAATTTTAAATTTTAACATCTGTAAATAAAGTTTGTGTATAGACCTGAATTATATTATATATTTTGATTATAAAACACAAACATGACGCATTTAAACCTTAAAGGATATTATTAGTACAGTCCACGTTGCCAAAGTCGAACAGCCACTTGTTCTGATGGTCATCATATCGTCTTCAAACGGCTTGGAAAGGAATGCCAATCGCTGTGCCCTGTTCTCCATTAAAAACCTCGGAAAGTGAATTCCGTACCAGAATACGCACAATATCCCCACTCGTTGCTTCGCCTGGGTCGATAATTCCGACTTTATCACCAGATCCCAGCATCTCAAAGTCTACCTCACGACTTTTCTCATACGTCATTTTGTTATCACCGCGCTTATGATATTGAAAAGTACGATTTTGAGGTGCGCGCATAATAGCACAACCCCCTCACATCAAATTTCGTCCAAATCCGTCCATTGGTTTTCGAGTCGAATCAAGTGTACAGACGGAGGGCAGACATGATCAGCGTTCTCGATATGCACTGAGCGCAGAGAACTCATAACATCCACGAACTCGTTATCTAATAAACACAAGTACTTTTATATACTCTTAACTCTTCCCATGTGCAGTTAGAATATATTTATTTGTAGCCTAATTAATACATCTGTCAATAACTCGGGAGTTTTATCGTATCGAATGAGTTGATGATCTTTAAATAATTAATTGGAAAGGATATGGAAGGAAGCCGTCATGGCCTAATTTAAGATAATTTTCCAGCATTTGTCTTAGAGGGACAGAAACTTCAGTCACGGTGACCGGTCTGCGAGGCGGGATTTGAACCCTGGAATTCCAAATTATGAAGTAGGCCACGCGTTATGCAAATGGAGATTTTATTTAAATTTGTAATTCGTCCATGTCACATTTTAAATTCTTATAGCGATAAAAATTACGCGAGGCAATTGCGAACAATTATTTCAGCAGAATAATAGCGTACGAAATATTTTCTGCACTCGTAGGATTTAATACGCGAGATTCTCGCTTTATCCTAGCAAATACGGAGTCATGCGCGCGTTTGCCATCTTTACTTTGCCGTCACAAGGCCGTCGATATACTGTTTGAGGTCACATTAGACCCCAGGCCTCGTGTTGTCCGTCCACACCCACTGTCATATTAAAATGCGAAATGTAAAAGACGAAAACCAACGTCATTTATTGTTGTTTCTTCAAATTGATTTGATTTTATGAACCCTTGCCGTGCTGTTTTATAATTGCCTCATTCAATGAGGCTCGAAGAATGGATTTCACTCTTAACCTTTACAAGCGTTAGGTTTCCCGTCAATTTCGGTTTTGTGTTTCGTTTCTGGGGAGTTCAGGAGACCACATCGTACCTCAGTACGATGACACAATTCAATACAGGGACGATATAATAAGGCGTGAACGTTTATCGCATGTAAAGAGCTAAGTAGAAGTCAGACATGACGTATAAATTGTGTGGAACGTGATAAGATTTGGTTTCTCTCATCGTTTTTCAACTAATGGCGTATAATGACCTAACGTGTTTTAAAATTACGTTTATTGATTAGTAAATTATGAATAACAGAATGGAATTTTAGGTTTTCTGGGTTGTAACGCATGTGCCATCGTTGAACATCAATAGTTTTTGTCTATTTGGGTTACCAATTGTCTTTCCTTTGCTAGTGATATAAAACATTTAAGAAGTTTACGTGTGATCATTATGATAGCAGCGTACAAATATTGACATACTTTTTATTCCCATGTAAAGATGTACATAGAGCAATCCAAATATTTAATTTGTAGGTGGTTGAGTTTGATGTACAAAGATATTGTACGAATTCCCGTCATCGAGACACGAACAAGGACAAAGCTGAGAACGTATAGCAGAGCTCCGATATATCAAAAGAACACGCGTATTATGTTATCGCTCTCAAAGATACTAAAACGTAAAAAGAAAGTGATGCTGGTTGCATACGATGTCGTGATTACCATAGCACGCACTTGGAATCGTTGGCTAGTAAGTCTGGTGGAACAAATAAACCTTGAATATCGCGGTAGATGTTTGTTGCAGGTTTCTTATCCATAATTGAACTGTTTCTAATAATGCATATGCCATCGATTGATGCCATAGATAGAAGTGTAACGAGACATCGCATGTTCATAAACTACCGACCAAGTGACATTTTGTACTGGTGTTCGCGAGTTGAAGACTGGAATACGTCAGGTCGTTGGAATTATAAAAATTCAAGACCGGACAATCTCGTTTCAGTATGATTATTATCGTTATTATTGGTGCATCGCTGTAATATAATTGCTGGTGTGATTTTAAATGTGGTTTTAATATCACCTCTAACACGCAATGACGTATGAAATATTGCTTCTGTAATTTACGCAGAATCTAACCTCTAACACGCAATGACGTATGAAATCTGTAATTTACGCAGAATCTTCGTCTGTTCATTTGTGGTTTAACTTAATAACGCTGTTAGTAGTTCGTACTAAGTATAGAGTGTCAAATGATATTAATGAATTGGAAAGGATGTGGTAGTTGTTTAATATAAGGTACGACGCCAGAATTTGTCAAGAGGGACTGATGAAATCTCATTATAGCCTGTCTCGTGGCCAACGTTGAACCAGGGACCTACTCAGTTGAAGACAATAGTGTCAGCCGCTCTGCCTCCATTTTCAGCGTAGTTTATCTTCGATGTGTGTACAGTAGGGGTCGGGAACCTTGAGCCTGCGGGCCGAATGTGGCCCTCGTAACCATTCTATGTGACCCACCTGTCACATGATCTGTAAATTACTCACAGCGTGAAGGACAAATATTTCCTGCTCCTGAAGAAGGTAGACTTAAATGTGTACATATTATGTAATCGTTCGGGCTAAGAATCGCGAAAGTATATTTTGATCAAGGAGTTATTAATGTCTTTTATTGAGCCAAGGAAAATTGTTGTGCTGTTCAGATCGAATGAAATTGCCGTCGTATAAATGACTTGAGTTTTTTTTTTATAAAATTGACAATGACTTGAAATAAAACCTGTTTGAAAACGAGGAGCCAACTGCTTCTTTATGCTAATATATATAAGCAAACTATTTTATAAAACAGCAAATAGGTATTTTTTGTTACTCTGTTTACGTAAGGATAATTTAGCATTGATCATTTCTTTCTTTCGTAACTTTGGGATTTCTCTAATTTTACAAGTACGTTATGACCGAGATTGTAATCTTATTTTGGATTTTGTGTATCTGGTTTTAAACAGCGTGTAATGTCGCGTTACCTACAAATCATAGCCATAGTTAGTTTACGCAAGTTCATCTCACATTCTCTGGTTAAAATCCCCTGTTCTATATTATATAGTCACGTAGATGCGTTACGAAACCAAATTAGAAGTTCTCTAAAACGCGTCCTGTACTAACGGACGAATCGTGTGACGTTTATCTGTCACCTGAAAGCTATAATTTTAAAGTTCTCATGGATTCCAATGTTACTATGTTCATGCGGTATTTCGCAACGTTTTAATAAAACAAATTTTGCTCTGTCGTTATACCGCGGCCATAATGCAAATGTTCAAAGTATATGTTACTACAATTTATGTTTCAAACCCTTTTAAACATGAAACTCATCTAAATAGGGCCTATTTAAAATGTAGTTCCTATTTTAAAGATGACACACGCGTCTTAATTAACAGATCTGTTTATCGGTGCTGTTTAAGGTAATAATCACTGTTTACTCTGAGAATAATTCAGAACCCTGTTGGAAAACGAAGTTACTGAATGGTAGAGACGTTAAAATTTTGCTTTAAAGTGTTTAAGTGGCCCTTAAAATGATTTGAAGTGAATGTCTCGTAGGCCCTGTACATAGTTATTATATAAAAGTACGAAATACCGTAAATAAGCAAAAAAATTTTAAAAATCTGATACTCGTTTTCATAAATACGCCATATATATGTATGACGTTAATTAAAGTGACTTTTAAGATGATCCAGAATTGACCGAAATTTATTGTAGATTAGGAAGCCGACTTCGATCAAAGCCTTTTGCTATGCGAACGAAGCAACATGACGAAAGTAATAGTTAAGTAAGCTTAGTTTTTTTTTAGTACTAAGTAGTTCAGTTAGAATTTCTCGCAAACGATGAAAATAAAATTAGGAAATGTACACACAGCCGTGCAGGGACATATTAACTTGACAAGAGGCGACAGAACGGGTTTATTTTTATGGGTGTAGCACACGGAAGGTTCACAGAGAATTAAAATCGGTCTCAAAGCGACATATCTCGTTCGTAGCATGATAAGTGTAAGCTGTAATGTGTAACGCTAACTTCTGATACTTTACGTGACTTTTTCGGACACTGGAGATCGCTGAGGTTCGTGGATACTGTTCTTATTCACCCCATGGGACAGCGGGAGGTCACTCTCCAGACGGAACAAGAATGGTTTTAGTTTGGGATCGAATATCGGCCTTCCAAATAGGACGAGAGCACGCAATCGCGTGATCCACAAAGATCGAGTCGAGCGAAAAGTATACGTGAAAGGCGAGAACATGTGAAGGCTCTATATAGCGTGTCCATATATTGTGGATTAAACGGTTAACGTGCAGACAGGAGTTTTTAAACCCTCCAAGCAATTTTTCTCGTCCTGTAAATTTACAACGAGGTATTGAAGAAGAAATTTAATTTATTTAAGCTTCAATTCTATTATCTGGTTATTTGATACAACTTTGTCTTATTGCTTTAGTACAGTGTTAAATATTTGTTTCTTGTTCTAAATAAATGAAAATAATATTAAAAGCAGAAATCCAGGACCTTCGGTTTTCCTCTGTCAGTGTCAATCCACTGATACTCCTGTAATCACTCATGTATCATCTAGGTTAGTGTTATCAAACTGTTTTCATTCCTCGGTCCAAGAATAGTTCTCTCTTTGAACCCAAGGGCCAAGAACCCCACCTGGAACTGTGTTTGAAAAGTAAGCCAAGTTTAATTATCTTTAACAATATTACTCAGAAAAACCAAATTACGATAGAAAATACTCGAATATAAATGTTATCGAAATGTGCAAAAATTACTATAGATTTGCGTGTTATATTAAATGTTATTTTGAAACATCGTGTATCTGACACAGTTTCTACCCACAAAATTTTCATCTTATGGCACTTGTACCTAAATAAGCTGACTGAAAAAATAATAAAATATATTTTTATTACATTCTTTGGAGTAGGAAAATGAATGAAGTACCCCAATGATTTCAGTAGTGACTGCTTACAAATTAGGAAATAATTGCACTGCCCTAGTTACAAGTTTTCTCGAGCCGGGTGTGTCCCGCGGTCCCCTGGGGTTGTACAGTGGATCCCATGGCTACTTCAGTTCTATACAAACATGGCGTAACTCAATTATAACAGTAATATTAGTAAATGCAACCATGCACGTGTGACGGACATAGCTTAATCATCATAGGAATACATTGTGTCCATTTCAGATAATGTTGCTTCTTGCAACAGTGTTAATTCTGTGTCAGATCGTATCATGTTAGTTGAGAGGGCGCAATGGCTAAACGTAAGCATTTCCATGCATTTGGTTCTCGTGGTAGTAGGATTGCAACGTGGAATCGGTGGAATCATCCGTGTGACCTTGTCGACCAATCACAATTTGTCTTGAGCGTAAGGAACACCGAGGGGTGGGGGGTGGATAACTCGACCAGCGATGCAAAAGCCAGTTTCGAGTTATGGCCGAGTGTTGTGCGCGTGGGAATTGTTTTCATTGTTTAATAAAAGCAGTTTTTATAGCTTTAAACAAGCAAATAATGTTGTGTGTTAGTTGTTTAATAACAGAACACTTGCTGTTAATTGTTACAAAACATCGTTCGTTCGAAACGTGCAAGGGATGACATCATCATTACAAAATTTTAAATAAGTGAAATGGCTAGACAGTGTCGGTGCATGTTTACTTGGAGTAGCTGCTTCTAGTAGGTTGTTAATGTTTGTTAGATCAAATTTAGTGTGTCTAATTAATTGGAACAACATTTTAATGAAACTTTACTTTGGTGTGAACTACCATACTACTTCACGGACGTTGGAGATGCGAAAACAAAGAGGTAAGAACTTATGAATTAATTATTAAACATTAAGTATATTGAAACTAAGTGAAATTTATTTTCAGCATGATGGCTGTTGTGAATTGTACCAACATTTCATGAAGAAAAACGTGTTTGCTTAACGTGACCAGTCTAGTTATGTTTTCATTATGGTATACTATAATGCAAAAACTACATTTTTCTGGTGCGTGTACATTTTCAGAATGTTTATGATGCAAGTGGATGAATGTTTACATTTCTTGCTTTGAAAGTCCGTGACATATAGGAAAAACACTTGTGTTACGCCATTAGAATGTTGGACAGGCCTGCAATAGGTCGCAGATAAATTAGAGAAAGTTACCAAAAAAAACTGAACAGTCACCCCCATATATTGTCGAGGTTAAGAATGAGTAGGAACCATACCACCATTAATCCCCCTCCCCCAAGCGCCAACATGGCGTATAGTGGGACAGACTTACTTTACTTTTACCGAAAGTAGATAGGAATTTCATATGCTTTTAGAAATCGAAGATAAAGTTGCCCGTGGCTCTTAACAAATTACCCGATCGTGTAGATGTCGTAAGAGTGAGTGGTTTGATTCACTCTTTGACCGTCAAGGATTCTGGTAGGACCGCGTTGTTTTAGTATTTTGTATCGGTGTCAATTGTAGTTCACAGAAATAAAATGTGTATGTAAAGTTTTTGGAAAGAATGGCGTGACTTGACTGTACAAAGAGACTGTTCATGAGACAAGTGTGTCCCTCCGTTAAATTAATTCTGTCCCGAAACTACTAGACATATTTCGACTCAGTTTGGCTTTGGGCGGATCTGCACTCTATGTAAAAGACAAATTTAGTTTTGCTTCTCTGACGTACCAATAAAATTAAGCCGGAATTACTTCAAAACGGCCGGAGATTGATATTAAAATACAGATTTCATTAATGTCTGTAACATTTATGTGAAAAATGTTTCGATATGTAGAACCTGTATTGTGAATAAATAACATGAAGGCCATTATTCAAAATAACAACGCGTGGGAAAACGTGAATTTCAATTTGGAGAGCTGTTTTGTTTTGATAAAATGGAGGCCTGTTTGACTCTTGCTAGCTAGTTGCGTGCTAGTAGGAGGTTATGAGCTTGGCCGTTGGCAGCAGCAGCAGTCTGTTGCTAGCGATGCACAGTGTTGTAACGCGACGTGTACAAGTTTAAGAGGGCTGTGGGGTATTAAAACTTCCTTCTCCATGGTCTGATTTCAACTGCGACTTACGGAAGGTGCTGACATCTTATCGTTGAATACACACCTGGTGTTTAGAATAGCAGGCGAGCCTTGGTACTCACGTTGCTTTCGAATTTGATTGATTTTCCCTTCTGCCAATGGGGAATTCCAACAGCTTTTCGTATTTATTTAGTTATTTATTTATTTATGATTTGTTTAACTACGCTTTTTGAGTAGCTCGGACTATACAGCGTGTAATGAGAGGATGATTGTGTATAATGAATTGGAAAGGATGTGTAAGTGAGCTTCGTTACCCAGAATATAATTACCAGATGTTTTCGGCAAGGCGCTAAGCCAGATGAGTCCACTCCACCATCACTTCCATCTACTTCGAGGTCTTTTTTTTTGCTGGAACATTGTTTACAGTTTTTAAAAAAGATAGTGTGTGGTGAAAATAACACGCGGACGAACGCTCGTATTTTTAATTTGCAATCAAACGCCACCAGTTCCATTCGAAATGGCCAAACGAGAGTTTTTGTCAACGTCGTAACTGGGTACACCCCTCCCCAAGGGTCAATCAACAGCAGTGCTATTTGGAGACAACTAAAAAAAATTAATAGATGTAATAAAGTAAAAGAAATGTTTCATGATAGATCCATTACTTTTATTTAATCTTTTCCACTACGTTCATCCGAAAATAAAGATAAGGTTAATGTTCTACGAAGTTCACATGTGCACATGTTTCTCTGCTACCAAAATCCCACTGCGGACGTACATTTATATCTGACATCCGTGAAGAAACGTGAAAAGTGTTTTGTTCTGATCGCCTACTGCGTGCGTGTTGTATGTATGTCAGATGTAAATAAAATGTTATGGCGTTGTATCGGACTTACGTATAATTCTTAACGGTACGTTTGTATTTACACAGTTGTTGGAATATGGCGGCTAGCGGGGGAATCCCTTAGAAATTACACAGGGAGTAAGTGACGTTGGATTTTGTTGGCGCAATGCGTGATTATCGTTAAAAATACGAAATATTAATCTCATATGTATACATTTTATTGGGACGTTTTGTATGTAGATGGATACATTTTATTGGGGGGGGGGGGGTAAATAGCAGTACTTTCGATTTTGTTGTTTCTGTAATTTACACTAAGTTGAGAGTATTTAATACCTTCTACAAATTTCGCAGTATGTTTTAAGAAATTATTTCCTCTGTGTGTGAGTCCACGTATTGTAATCATAAAGAATTGCTGTAAAAGAGTTGCTTATGTGTAAATTTTCTTGTGTATTCATACGAATCGATATTTGGGATGGGGAACGTGTGACTGCATCATAACACGAAAAAGGAAATTACTGGAGAAGTGAAAAGTGTGCATTGGCTGGCTTGAAACTGCATTTGTGGTCAAATTTATGCCATAGGGGAGGAGTGGAGGGTTGTAATGAGTTGGGTCGATATCCCAGCTCAGCTGCTGGGTGTGACGTGAATAAACTCATTTAAAATTACACAATATTCAGCAGAAACCCAGACCGAGTTCGTTGCTCTGTGACAGTTGACACAAGAAATGCGAGCTGTTTTCACCGACGAAATGAATTCAACCACCTCACAGTGATTACTGTTATCACTCGCGTACAGAGAGTTTATTTAGTGGCAGTGTTTAAACTGTGCTAATATACGAATTACTGTTGGCAGAAACACGTAGCTTGATTATTTCTCGTCTAACACTAGGTCAACGTCCTGCGTATGGCTCCGTTTGATCGATTACAAAAAGACTGTATAGTAATATACTTCATAAATATTTTATCATGATTAATCTAACATTATAATACATGTTGTTTTTACAAGGTACTTGTAGGTTGGGTCAGGTCCTTAAATGTCCTAATACCTTCTTATATTAATGTATTAACTGATTCAAATGTGTAGTATTTTTCTTGTACAGGGTTTCCAGAAATTGTTCAGTCCAACTGGTTAATGCTGATCGAGGAAATAATTCCTGTTTACATTAAAAATAACGAAATGCATACGTAAACACAACGCGTACGTGGAGTTATCACTGGGTTAATGTCCTGAGGCAACTGTGCCTTAGAACTTACCTTTAAAACTTGTAGTCCACAGTTTGAGAACCACAGACATTATACGTACTTGTAGTATCTCGGAATTTCGTCATGACTGTGTTAGACTGACTTTTCAATCGAGCTGAAATGTTTACCAATACGCTTAATAGGAGGCGTTTTATTCAAATGTAAACACAAGACATGAAAGAGAAGTGTAAACACACCGGAAGAGTGGTCTGATCGACAAAGTCACTATTTGTCATTAATGTACTACGCGTTATATAGAATAACGGTTTGCAACTTGTGGTTCTTGACCGTGGGGTGTTCGTTGAAATCGAATACCAAAATGTGCGTGTTTACTCGCAGTAACGCGGGCCTAAGTTTGGGAAGTGACGTATATTTAATCTTTTGCATTTAATGGAACATTGAAACATGTGAATTGTCCTTGGAAACTGAAATGGAGATATAATTGATAACGAGGAATGAGTACATGTAAATTTTACCCTGTCGTGTCTGTCGCAGCTAAGAAACAAAAGGGTAACAAACAGACCCACACACCAACCCTCCGAAAGTTAGCGAAAAATTCTGTAGTATTTTTTGCTGTTCTTGATTTAATTCTTACCGGCTCTGAGGGTTCCCAGGTAATGCCTGCTCGTCCTTGTGCCAAAGCAAGCATCAGGTTCATCTAAATGTTGGCTAAAAATTCAGTTACTGTCTTCAAACACAAAGCGTATCTATTACAAAGATCAAATTGTTAATGCAGTGGGCGAAACATTGAAAGTTAGTGAATGGTAAATCAGGTGGCACATTTAAGCAATGTGCTTTAAGCTAAGAGTCTCTAGTGCTTAAACATTATAAAGCTCTGATAGGTTTCATAGCTTCATTTACAGCGCCTACGGATAAAAAAGTGTTTAGTGCAAAAATCCCTCAGTGGTTGATCATATTTTTTACTTTGTAATCTCCAAGTTTGCTGTTTGCGTCTCGTATCATACGATAAAAATTCGATCAGTCATCGACCAATGGAAAGATGGGTTTGTGTCGTATAGAAGATAACGCGGATAATATTCAGCATAGGTTAAAAAAATATTGTGATATAAGTAAAATGCCTAGGCCATTATTTAACGGTATTTATCTCCACGTGACGTAGTCTATCCCAAAACACTTCCCAGTGCCCAATATCCTATCCTAGGCCTATTTCAGTGACTGTTCACTGCACCATGTAGCCGTGAAGGCATAAGGCATTTAGGCTGCTACTAAATATTGTGATATAAGTAAAATGCCTATGCCATTATTTAACGATATTTATCTCCACGTGATAAATATTGTGATATAAGTAAAATGCCTAGGCCATTATTTAACGGTATTTATCTCCACGTGACGTAGTCTATCCCAAAACACTTCCCAGTGCCCAATATCCTATCCTAGGCCTATTTCAGTGACTGTTCACTGCACCATGTAGCCGTGAAGGCATAAGGCATTTAGGCTGCTACTGTACAAATATAAGAAAACTTGGGCGATGTGTATTTCATTCATTAAAGAAACATAAGAACTTGAATTACAAAGTATCAGCTCCTTCGTGACTCTTAGTAATTTAACACAAACTTCCAGCGTTACCGGAATTTAACACAGACAACTAACTCCACATAAAGGACGTGCTTAATTATCAGAAATAATTTCCCATCGAAATGTCGCCACAGAAATTTACACTAAACGTTTCCCGTTCCTACATCACCCATAATTGTAGCCTAAAA